ACTGACCAGTTCAGGATACGGCGCAGAATTGCCCCTCCAGAACTACAACAATGCCTTCAGGGCGCAGCGCAAGATCGTCGCGCAGACGTTCAATCCATCCATGGTCTCGCGCTACTATCATATTCAAGAGGCCGAGGCGCGCAAGCTCGCAAAGAGCATTCTCGATGACCCGAGCGCGCTCATCTCACAGACCAAGTTGTGCGTCTAGCTCCCCTTCGTCTCTTGATTGTCTGTATTCATGGTAACATAGCCGGATTGCGTCCATCATCATGCGCGTCACATATGGCTACACGGTGAAGGGCGAGGACGACCCAATGATCACGATTCCCTTCACCTCGATGGACAACTTCAGCAGGGCGACAGAGCCGGGCATGTGGATGGTCGACCTGATTCCTCAACGTGCGTACGCGAGTCATCAGCGCATCTGGACATGTGCTCATCATTGCTGCAGTCAAGTATCTCCCCGAGTGGACACCCGGGGCAACCTTCTTGCGCACGGCGAAGAAGTGGAAACAGCTTGAATGGAGCGCATCATGGAACCCATATCGGTGGTGCAAGGACAACTTGGTACGTCTTGAACATCGCTGAAGAACCACTTTGATCGTGATAATGAGCTTCATTTAGGAGACTGGCGCGGCGCTGACTCCCAGTCTTTGCGCGACTGCACTGTCGCAGGCAGGCGGCAAGCTGTCAAAGGAGGACGAAGAGACTCTGGTCTGGGCGGCCTCATCAGGCCTGGGCGGCGGGTTGGACACGGTACGTCCTACGGCCTGGAGTACGAGTCACACAGCTGATTGCCGGCGGTCGGCGGCGTCTTTAGAACATGTCCACCATCTTCACGTTCATACTCGCAATGTTGCACTATCCGGATGTTCAGGCGAAGGCCCAAAAGGAGATCGACATGGTAGTGGGCACAGACAGGCTGCCGTCGATTCAAGGACAGGCCCGCGCTTCCATATGTACGGAGCCTCATCGCGGAGGTATACAGGTGGAACCCAGCCGTCCCACTTGGTGAGTGCTTGTAGTCTTTTTCATGGCAGATACTGATCGTCATCGGCAGGACTCCCGCACGCGCTAAGCCAGGACGACGTGTACGAAGGGATGTTTTTCCCGAAGGGCGCTGTCGTCATGCCCAATGTCTGGTGCGCAATTGGTGCTGTACATCTTTGCGGCGCACCTCATATCTGCCAACAGGCACATGCTGCATGACCCTGCCGTGTATCCAGATCCAATGGCGTTTAGACCCGAGCGCTTCGAGAACTCGGACGCAGAGATGCGCAAGGTGACAGACCTCGCGTTTGGGTTCGGACGGCGTGCTTGTCCGGGGTACGATTTCGCGGAGGGTACTGTCTTCGCGGTCGTTGCGACGATCCTCGCGACGAGCACGGTAAAACGTGCAGTGGACGAGCGCGGGAAGGACATCCTGCCCGAGGTTACATACACGAGCGGGACAATTGTGTAAGTTGCTCTACATCATCACCGTGTTCCATGAGCTACCATTGACGAATGAACTAGGTTTCCGGAGAACGTGATATGCAGCTTGGAGTCGCGCTCGCCACGTACTCGTGATATGCTTCTACAGGCGGTGTCTCTAGCATAACGACAAGGTTGTACCCTCGCAGCTTCATGGTAATTTTATCGATTCATCTTTTGAAGGTTGAATGACGGAGCATCATATCAAGCTCCGGAGCACTTGACATGGGCGACAGCAGTCGTCTCGCTTTCAAGTTCCAAGTTCAAGTCTGCGTTGGACTTGTGAATTGCTTTGTCATTGACATCCTTCACGTCCTCCTCTTATCCTTCGATAAAGCAAGATAAACTTTGAGCGAAGTGTCGTAGAGGTATCATGAGGTGAAACTTGACCGGAGTTCACTCGTTGTACTTGAAACGTGTAATTCCGCTCTGGTCTCGCGTACGCGACCTTCAGGGCGTATTCTAAGCGGCATGGTGTAAATTGTGTACCATCGGTGAGCCAATGAACGGGTCATTTTCAAATCCCTAGCGAGATCCTTCCTTCGTTTGCCCTGACTATGGTTTCGTCGGATCTGGTGCGGCGCGAACTCGCTTCTAGCGTCACCGGGATAGGCGTGTATACGCTAGTGCACACCAGGACACCTGTTACCACAATATACGACCTCGGGCAGGTGAGGCCCCTGATGTTACCTTCACTTCCCGCCGCGGCAGATCACATACGGTAGCGCATGTCAAATATTCTATGAAGTGCGTGAATACTGTCTCTATTGTGTACGCGTATAATGCCAGTGACTTGTATGACACAGCCCTCAATCTGAGTGGCACGATCTATCATTATATCACGATATATCCGCACCTACGGTATATGGAAGAACCCACCACCCTCATGTTCGCTAATTCTCCTCGTCGACCTCTCCCATCCTTCATCACTGTTCGCATCTGCGCAACGGGCGGCAGTGGCGACGGGACGCATTCTCGGACGTCCCTTACGGCTCCGACACAACATATTATCTCCTGCACATTCCGACCAGAGATTGGCGAAAGTGGAAGTCACTCACCCTCATCATCTACAAACTGACATTCATTATATGTGTCCCACAGTGCACGGAACATGGGTTTCTCCGAGCATGGGTAGTATGACCCGATATACGCCCGGAGATATTTTGTCGCTTCGGCGCAATGGTCTATCGCACATGCATGTTAGCGGGCAAGAATGGGAAATCATAAACGGGTCAACTCGCAGAAGGGCATCGTTGAGAACAAATGGTGGGCGACATGCAAGTGCGTGATGTCATGCAGAAAGAAGCGTCCTTGCCATCCAAGGAAATTACGATCGATTGTGGATGCAGCCCCCCGTTGGAAATTCGATTGGCCGTCACAATAGTGCCGGGCATTGATGTCGGTATATAATCATGATAAGGCTAGAAACCTTCTCAGCCCCAATCCACATACTAAGTTGTACCCCAACGTACCAATGGGTCGCTAGGAGCCATGTAGATCCATACAATTTCATCACTTTGGCAGCGCCCCAGGTCTCGCCTGCATGGAATTATATTATTTTTATGGACAGAATACCAAAGTCCGGAACGACAACATCAAAGTATTGATGTTTGTGAAGAGTGCGAAGTTTGCTTCGCCCATTAAAGTTAAATCCACTGAAACAGTAACTGAAACTCACGATTATAATGGTTGGTCCAACGTGGATACTCTTTGCGCCCCGACACGTTGAGATCTGTTCGCCAATTCACACCAATTCATGTCTCAACGCATTCGATGTACGAGTTGATGCTCCTTAAACGTACGAAAATATGCAGGAAACGCAAGGAGTCGCGTATGCATAAGGTGTAAATCGGGGTATCAGCCAGGTAGTCTTCGTAGTCGCTTTCACGGATATCCTGAGGGATCCCCAAGTCACTTCTTGTGTTCGGAACATGACTTCGTCGCGTTCCATGGAAGCATGATTCATGTGATGGCGGCGATGAGAGTACTTCCAGCTCAAAGCAGGGTGTCCAGAGAGTAGTGTGAACAATCTTCAATTCACCTCTTTAATATCTATCTTTTAAGTAAGTTTATGCCCTACCACTGGTGAAGTGAATGTCGCCTCAAGGGGGACTAATACACACATAGTGTGCCTCTTCTGCCCCCCGAATTCCATGACAAGATTAGGTTCAAATCATGTTGCTGTCTTGTTTACTCATTCTCTGTGTGGAAGATGAAAAGTGTGCGCAGACCCCCCAAACAGCCATAATTGTTGTGCATAGTACAGCCGGAACTCGTAAAGGTTCGTGATCTGACTATACTAGTGATGCCTAACAGTGTTTATACACTGCTGCAGCGTAAACCTAGCAGTCCCCTAGCACTGCAGAAGTGTTGCAGCAGCTCCATGCGAGCGTCGCCCAAGCAGCACTCAAGCGTCACCTGAGCGTTGGTCCAGCGTCAGAAAGACCATGCCCTGTGAAACCTGTTCAATTATAGATATAAATGGAGTGCTTGGGACCTCCGGAGTGCCGTCCACAGATCAACTCACATAATACAAGGATCAGCGAAAGAAATAGAGTCTGACATTTCCATAACCAGTACATAAAGGAGATGAATTAGACGTTTCGCAATATATATGTCAATTAAGTTCCCCTTTACTCAAATCGCTGTCATACTGCAGCAACCTCGGTATTGGGGCCGTGCGATGTACCGAACATAAAGGTTGGAGTTGCATACACCCTTCGCGCCCCTTTCCTTATGAGGCCGGGCGCGCGATCATAACGATAAATAGGCGTTTTTATACATATAACGCGCACTTCATATCAAATTCGATAAGTAACGCGCTGTGATACAGGTATTCTTGGTAGACTTGTAGTGTGAGTCTCGCTGATCAGCTCGCAATGTCACTCTCGAAAAAAGTAGTGAATATACCTTTCAGCATCGACATGCAAGAATCCGCATCTGAAGTAGATCTTCAGATAGACAGCTCTGGCGATAAACGTGCCAACGATGCCGTCTGGCCTCACGACAGCTGCGGTTGTTCCTTGCGGCGGCGCCTGATATACCGTATAGCCATGTCTGTATCGATCTACGCAGACAAAATCTGCATCAGACGCAGCTGGCTAAGGAGCCGTATCTCGCGGGAGAATGACCACTATGCGAACGAGACGAAGCGGGAACTTCTTCGTAAACTCGATTATGGAAACAAAGTCATCACTGTCTGAAGGGAAGATGAGGATAGTATAGCAAGTGGAGCTAGAGATGTGGAGCAATGGGGTCATCGTGCACATCAGCAAAACCAGATTCATCCTGCAATCTATTACATGACGACACAATCAATGTAATCGAGCGCCATAATTGTACATGAGAGATATACGATTATCGAGGCAAGTCCGCTTTGGCAATTTCCCAATCCATTGCAATAGGTGCAATATTGGCGGCTATTGGCAAGATACACATTTCTTGCATCACCTGGCATGAATGTACCACCATTATATTCCTACACATAATATTATAATGTTATGCTTTAATAGTGAATGTCGATTGCCTGAACAGGCTTAATTACTCTCACCTGGTCACGGTTCCCTGGCCCCCGGGGTCCTCACAAATAAATTGTGGCAGAAACATTACAAATAATGTTTATTTTCTCATAATTATATAGGTACTAACTACTATTACAGGTGCGCCAGTCTACAGGTTCTCGCCTGATCCAGCCGCCTGATCCTGTGGGTGTCGAGCCGCAAGCTGGGCTCCTGAGGCTGGCCGCTGGTGCTACCGCGTCTCAATGTTCTGGCTCAATGTGATATCAGCAGGTCATTCCAGTCGCAGAAAGTATGAAACTTACTTGTTCTACCACTCGAGCAGTTCAGCTTTGTGTTGAGTTATGCAAATTTGCAACCTGTAAATCACACTATGTGAGTGCTAGATTATAAGCATGATGAGACACAGCCGGAAAGAGGGATTTGAAAAGGCCATAACTTACCAACTTGAAGAGCAGAATTGAATGGGATATTTGAGGTCCTCGGGCTGGCGAGGACTGTACTGTACTCATATGCGCTCAGGTGCACTCTCTTATCTGCAGTCGGCAAAGGAATTTTCAAATAGCATGTGTCTGGCTCACCAATAATCATGAGCCTCGCCATTCGGCAACTCACTGAATATAGCCGCTGACAGACAAACTGGCTAAAAGCAAAATACAATTTTGCCTTGTATCCAGACCTACTGTATCCATGCCCCATCGCTGCAAAATGGGGTATGGATACTGTGGGTCTGGGTGCGAGACAAATACCATATGGCTGCATGCGTGATGGGCATAGTCATTGTATCATCGTAACAGTTGAGATCCAGCCAGCGACTCATCATTCTAACGCTCCAACAGCACACTGGAAGACTCACCTAGTACTCTACACCGCATTTCCTCAAGTCACAGCTGTGAAGACATTAGTGTATTTGGCACACCTAGCAGACTATGCCCCAAGTGAGTCTGTTGATGCCGGCACTAGTGCTCATGGCTCGGACATTTAGACGACGACATAGACTTAGATGAGCTTAGACCCTGAGGATGACGAGGAGTCAGGACACAGAGGACGAAACAATGTACTAGATATGCTAATGTAATGACATTTGAAGCCTGATTATCTGTACAATCGGTCAGTGCACCCTTACATCACATCTGTTGTTGCATTTGTCAGCATGCAGTGTCGGAATCCATATGATACGCAACGTGATTGGAATTAGAATATTTATATTGCTTTATTTAAAATACATACCAAGCCTTAGCAGACTATCACAATATCTGGGCATCCATACAATCAAGTAAAATTATGATGACGTGTCTGCAATCGATTATCAGACACATACCATTCTGGCTCTAAGTTGCACACACATCACCTGAATGTTGACTACTTCATAATCATGTCCCATAATTAGACAGGCGTGTAATTACATATCAGCAAATAACAAGTATGGACAATCATGATGAATACTCATAACTAATATATTGTATCACACGTCGAACCTGGTTTTGCTGATGCACTCGACACCGCCCAGCTCAGTTTGGGTGAAGCCCGGTGCATCCGGGGCCCTGTTGCCAGCATGTAGCCCGTCACTTGTGTTCGCCCCGTATGCGTTCAGAATTTGCTTCTCCCTTTCGTATGAGTCTTGCGGATGGCGCTCATAAGAAAACCATGGAAATTCAGCGATAGTTGATACCAAGTGTCTTTAAATTATAAGTCTGCGCCCATCCTTTTGATACATTGCCGCCATTCAATATGACCTTGCGAGTAGCGTGGGACAGATTAGCCGCCT